GATGATTTTGTTCACAGAAACTGAACGAATTTGGGAGTTTAAATGGGAGTTTTCCAAAATGGTTTTTTCTGGGCTTGGATATAAGTCGAAGCTGACATTAATGAGGAATGCTAAAAGCTTGGGAAAATACATTTTAGTTGGTGAATTTTAGCAAAATATTTTGAGGGAAATAATTGTCCAAATAAATATTCATTTGACATATTGTGAAAATCAAATTGTGGGAAATTAAAGCACTTACTGAATGGTAAAGTGTTTGTTGAGAATAGAAGATGCTGTAGGGATGCCACACTGAAACAATAATTGTGACAGGCCACTGAAGGTTAGGTTAGGTAGAGTCTAACACAACAAAGTTGTTCCTTGCTCTTCCCATGGAAGTTTGACCTCCATTACTTAACAAAGTGTCTCTGATAGCCTTCCGTTTTATCATTTCAATCTTTCCCCCACCAGTTATATTTAGGGCAAAACCCAATTATATTTGTTTATGCATTCCCCAGAACTAATCCGACTGTTTAATGTGTTAAACTTCCTTCGGCAAGCTCATAGACTATTGTCACCAGAGCACTCCCATGCCCCAATCCGTTGGAGTTCCGTTGAAGAAAACTTTCGTCTGGTTCTTGGGGTTTTTGCGCTGCTCCGCCTGTGTCAGAACTTTCCCCTGGGCGTCATGCTGTCTGGGCTTGTGGTTTCTATCTGCCAGTTTTATGGTCAACATTCTTGGCTGCTCCGCGTCTTTGTCGGGGTTCATATATCTTTAATTTTTTATGCTCCTTGTTATGTCAGCACATTTGCCATAGCATACATTTCAGCGCACCAAACTTGAGTTGCTGTCATTAGCGGGAAAGATTCTTCAGACAGAACAAGGGAATGGCAATGGCACGGGGATATGTTGAAGTAGATGCCGCCTTGGCTGTTATTTGTGTGTTGACTCATAACTGGGTCAACAATGGGAAGGAGGAAGCGCACTTTGAGGTCCTCCTCCCAGCGATGCCTTTGCTTCCTTTGTGGTTATTCTGGTTGTTTGGGGCCATCGCCCGTTTACAAGTCAAGTGGCGCGCATAACACCAAAAAATTGTGTAACGAAAACAATTTATTTTGCTGTAAAACTTGACGTCTGCCCTGCTACTGCTGTCATTGTCAGCTAGCCAGATTTGACAGCGAGTCTGCCTCCCAATGGTTTTTGTGGGTTCTGCCATGCAATACATCCTCATCCACCTCCTTCTACCAGAGCCAAAAGTTTTCATAAATTTTGTTAGTTTTATTCACACATTTTAACATTGCTCCACTGGCTGCGTGTCAGCATTCATCTCCGTTCATTTAGTCCAATTTTATTTCATTTTCGACCTGACAAAATATATTTTTTTCCCTGCCATAATGTTTTGTCAGGCTGTGGAGTCCCTTGTGGCATTAAAATGCCAATTGGCATTAATTTTAATCCACGCTACTCACCTTTTAATGTGACATGTTCATTTCGATTCGTATTTTACTCCAATTGGTTAGGCTTAAATTTAATTTAATTTCAAGCAAAATACTCGTAGAATAAATTTGTAAATTACATTTAAATTTTCATAGGAATGTGTTCTGTGCATTTGACACTTCGGCAGCGGCATTCTGCCCATTTAATGCGTAAACTGGAAATCAAATATTTACGGCCGGATGCTCTTTTGGGATTGTGATTGTTCTCGGGAGGACACCACACTTTGGGGGTTTGAAATTTACATTTTAAATTTAAATTTAAAGAGCAAGTATAAATAAATTAAATTATTTATTACTATTAACTCGTGCTTAATATTTATGTTTTATCGATGCTATAAATTTAATAAAAACCAAAAAGTTGAATGGCTAATGGCAAATGTATTTTGCAGCACCTGCTAAAAAGTTACCCACTTTGCAGAGCCAACCCACTTCCATTTTCGTTTCCCACCCCATCGATCCACTGACCAAAACGTGACAATTTTAGCCAAGTGCCGAACGGATGCTAAAAGCCGTATGCAAACATTTCAGTCAATCGACGTTGCCAAGAGTGCAAGTGCACTTGGCCATATGTGAGAGCAGCTGCTCGGTTGAGTCGGTGGAGTCGATTCGGTTTGCGGGACTTACAGCGGCTAATGCAGCAGCTTAGTATTTGCATAAAGATCCGAAGCTAAGGAAAGTGTCGGCGTCGTTACACAAATAAACGCAAATCTGCCACAGAAAAGAAAATAAAGGGAAAGAAATCAAATCAAGTCAAAGTGCAAGAAGGAGGAATCTAAAGTAATCCCAGATGACGGATGACATCATCAATGCAAACTCTTTGATTTTATAATCCAGCAAGAGACAAATTATGCGCGCAATTAAAAGGCAAACAAACCATTAACAGAAAACTGCGGAAATTGGCCAATGAAACAATGTAAAAAACTTGCTCAAATCAACGCCTGGAGCGACATTGAGTGGGTCTTGAGTTGGCCAAAAACTGAAAGGGGCCGCGCACAAGCCAAATGCAAAAGATAAAGCCAATGAAGATTGCTGTTGGCCAATTGTTGCCACTGCAGCGCGGAGGAGATTAGCTTTTCGCTTTTTTGTTTGTCTTTAGCAATGGAAAAAATTAGCAGCAATTAAAGGAAATTTGCAACGAAATGCGATAAGTGCGGCCGATAAATGTGTTTGAAGTTTCGCTTCATGAAAGGTGAAGTCAAAGTCGAGCTGCTGGCCAATAAATGTTTTCCTTTATGGTCTGGAAAATTGGCCAATGAAATGTGCACTCCCATGGAAAAGTGTGCCATAAGTGGGTCAAAGTTGGATTCCTGATAAATGCGCAAAGCACCAATGAGATATGGGGCTGAAAGAACTTTTTATGAGAAACTACTTCCTTGTTGAACTTTCTCTTCCATTTGGTCTCTGATTTCTTAATGCATTTCTGCGTTTGAATATTTATTTATTGGGCAAGAGAATGAATTTTCGCTTTCATTGAAACAATAATTCCACTTGAATGGTTTATTTTATTAGGGAAATGGTTATTTGTTTTGCTTTTTATAAATGAAAAAAATATCGTAGGAAATTGTTTGAGCAGCAATTATTTTTAGCTACGCAAAGAACCAATTAAATAAATTACTGGGTATATAAAAGATACTCGAATTCCCTTGTGTAAATTGACTGCCTAAAATCAAAATGTAAATATAAATTAAATGCCAAAAGACATACCTCAATCAAACTCTCATCTGAACCCATAAAGATGTACGTGTACGTACATCATGTCACAATATTTTGACAACTGCTGTCAAGTCTTGGATGATTACAAGCCATAATGAGATGCACGAATGCTCCCCGCATTTTGTTTTTGATAAATTGATAAGGTCTCTGATAGGCACAAATTACAGGCCGGCCGAACAACCTCTGGCTGGCCAATTAAATCCGTATGGGCATAATCAAAATCAGAAAAATATAAACTTGTTGTGCATATTGTGAATGGGCATTGAGAAGCAGCAGCCGCAGAGCAGCAGCCACCACTACCAGAGAAATATTCAAGGGCAATCCATATCCATGAGCGTCAAACTGGTTCTGTTCCCCAGGCATACAAGGGGACCTGAGAGGTATAATAGGTGTCAAAGGCATCTGCATTTCATATGATGAGTCAGTTTATGGGTCGATTCGTTCGTTCGCTCGTTCGTTCGTTCGTTCACTCGGTCGTTTGTGTTGTCGTGCGTCGCTCTCAATGGTCAAGGTCAATTCGCATCTCACGATCTGACAAATTGAGTTAATTTAAATATTTGGAGTAAGGGAGTACAACAAAATTTGGAATATATTCATGTATTTCTTATTGTTGTCGCCCACAAATCGATTTTCAAACAGAACTACTTGATATTTTGAGGAAGTAGAGCATAACTGACATATATGGATGATTGACCTTTGGTCGTTGAGCAGGTGACGGTTTCTTGGGTCACTTTAAAAGCATTAGAAAAACACAGAAAATTAATTACGTTTGCAAGCAAGTCATATCGAGTATATACAGTCCAAATGTTACACGAAATAAAAACAATTTGCTTTTCCGAAAAATTTAGAAAGTAAAAGAGTCATGCAAAGGGAAAGACACTTAAAGAAATTTCTACTGAAGTACATAATAGAGTTGTTTTCGGTAGTCTGTAAACTACGCAAAATATCTCAAAGTATTGCTTTAAATGGAATATGCTGTGGGATATCTATATTCCTACCTATATTCTGTCTTCCTGCTTATCATTGAAAATCCCGTTCATTCAATAAAAATAATTTTTATTATAAATCCATGATAAACAAGTTAGCCGATGTACCAGCTGGTAGACCCCGAACAAACCTTTATGATTGCGATAAATTGAAATATATATTGCATAAAAAATATATACATATGACTACTGGCAGTAATTGCCATAATATTGTACAAAAGCTTACGCATTGTGCACAATCCTGCCATACATTGTTGCGATTGCCATCAATTAAATGAAAAGCCTCAACAATTTGCATGGCCATGCAAATGATGTGCAAGAGGCGGTGGAAAAAAAAAGACAGCGGGAAAAACGTACCAACATCGAATGAAATGGAAAAACTTTAGTTGTAACAAAAATTGACGTAACTTGCATTTAATTTGCAGGCGAAAGGCCACACTACTTTCTAAAAGCGAAATTGCGAAAGTTGTCATGTTGTGATGAAGGAAATGGACTCCTTAATATTTAAATATCGCCACAGAAATCACCCAACAAATAAAGGTTCATTAATACACATACATAAATGCAGCTGCAACTCTTTCATTCAATTTAACTTTTGATTTTCAGATACAAATACAAACTCAAATTTCAGATAAGATAAACTTGAACTCTACTAAATCCCAGCTCCCAATGTTAACAACCTGGACTACGTGGGAAGCTACTTCCGAACGTTTATTTATACAACCCTTTATCTACGAACTCAACTCATTTTGGTTCAGATAACAGCAATCATTAGGTGCGCTTTTCAGTTGGGAAATTGATAAGGTATACATCGCGGCGAAACATTTCGTTGTCAGTTTAGTATGGAAACGAGTCGCGTGCAGAACGTTCCGGGAATTAAAGTATACAAAAAGTGACGTAAAATGTCCAACGTACGTTCTTGGATAACTCTAATTGTCTGGGTGAAACTTTGCCTAATGATCTACCTTATACCACCGAATCAAACGCGTAAGGATGTACCCACTTTAGTGGAATACAACTTTCCGAATGATGAAGCACATTTGATTGATTTCGGGAACTTTTCCTATATAATAGAGCAGTTACCATGTGAATCGGATACCAAGGGACTCATAATAGTCCACACAGCACCCGATAATCATGAGAAACGTTCAGTGATACGTGAGACTTGGGGTGGAGTCAACTCCCCCAGTGGTTCACCACTTCGTTTGATCTTTGCTCTGGGAAACATTCAGAATAGCTCCCTGGAATCTGCGATTCTGGATGAGCAGGCTCAATATGGTGATCTCTTGCAGGGCAATTTCATAGATACATACAGCAACATTACCTACAAGCATGTGATGGCCTTGAAATGGTTCAACTACCACTGCAATAGTGCTCAGTTTCTGCTTAAAGTGGACGACGATATATTTGTGAATGCTCCGTTACTTTTGAAGAACTTAAAAGAACCAAAACTCTCCAATAAGCAGCTAGACAATCTCATACAGCAACGCAGCGAACTTCTGCTGTGTACGAAGGTCGTAAAAGATCCAGTTTTGCGTTCCTATCGCTCCAAATGGCGTGTGAGCTTCAGGGAGTACTCTGGCTCTCGTTATCCCGATTTTTGTCCAGGTTTCGCGGTCCTTTACAGTACAGATGTTGCAAAGAAACTCTATGCAGAAGCCCAAAGATCACCGTACTTTCGCTTGGATGATGTTCACATTACTGGGATATTGTCGCAGCGTCTGCACATCTCGATCAGCGATCTCAAACCTTATGTCATGTATCCAGTGGAAATGGAAAGTTTATTGAAGGGGACAGAAATACCCAACGATCAAGTGGAATTTCTGGTTTCCTGGCATAATTTAAACCCAGCACAGATGCGATCACTCTGGGCATTGTTTGGAAACAACTAACTGGAGGGACAAAGAACCTCTGAGCTTCCGCAAAACCAGAGCCCCCACGTCAGAGTCAACTCCAATTCATTGCGAGCCAAGTGCGTTCAATTTCCTTGGGACACAGCTGGCTGAATGAATGGATGACTGGTTGACTGAATGACTGACTAGCTGGCCCGACTCCTCATCAATATAAATCACAACAACAAAAGGCCCTTGGCTAACTGGCTTTGGACATTGTTTACCTCAACAGAACAGAACAGAACCCAAGTCCAAGCCGAAGGCCAGGAACTGGAACTGAAGCTGAAACTGATTGCCCATAGCCTGGAGACGGACCCAAAGGCATCCCATGCAATGCTTCCTTCCGATACCAGTACACATCATTTCTGAGTGATGTTCCCGAGGCAGTGGCAGGCGGCGCCATCCTTTGTGCTCATTGTTTTCCGAAAGTTGGTAGCTTTTTGGATGGTGTTTAGTGTGTGGTGTGATGGATGCGTTGCAGCAGCTGTTTTACGGCAACAATGGACCGAATGGAGCGGAATGAATAGCGGCAATGTGGAATATGGCCATGATTCATTATCTAGATGGTCATTCAAGTTCATTTATAAAACAAAGGATATACCACAGATCCCGAAAGGTTGATAAATATAACTCTTGAAATACCTTTTTATTTATATGTTATTGCGATTTGGAAAATAAATAAAGCTTCCAATTCGCTATATTAAAGATACGAGAATATATTTATTATGTAGTATAAAACAATATAGTCCAATATGCAATGCACAATAACTATAAAACCAATCATCAGTCAGATAACAAATAATGGTGTGGCTTATCAGCACACAAAAAAAAGGAGGTAAAAGCAGTCTTTTCAGATAAGCTAAACACATATGTATGTATATTGACCACTCTACGGATAAGAAAGAGTTAAGTATACAATAAAGCATCATTTATTTGTGGTTTGTTGCCAAGCTGGCACTTGGCTTAATTTCTGATATGTTGCTATCTCATTGGACATATCTTGTTCACAGTTTTCCATCGCGATAAGCTCGTAGTGTCGCGTAGAAATATCCATTCAGGTTGGTAATTGGAATTGCAAAATTGCTAATCTCGAGTTGTCAATCTTGTCCCACAACACATGCGAGTGCAGGAGTGCGACTGCATGGTAGCAGGCCAGTGCAAACAAAACATTGTCCAAGCCATATCTATACGTTGGTATCTGAATCTAATTCTGTATCCATGTCGGTGTCTGGTTCCCATTCTCTAATGTCTGACGCAGACAGGCACAGCTACAGCTGCAGGCCAAGTGCAATATTTAGCACGCCACAAAGTGTTGCATATGCAAATTATTACAGACATTTTGTTAATTGTCTTGAAAATCGTTGGCCAGACATGAATTTATTTAAGTCCGGCCGGCTACGGTAGCAATTCAATATATAAGCCAATCAATCTATGCATAATCTTTACTATTGCTTCTGTTGGGTAATATCTGTCTGGTAATATCTTATCAATGGAATTAATGTTTATGATATGATTTTTAAAATACTTGAGGCAGCCACAACATTTTACAAGCTGATAAGATTCAATTGACTTTAATTTAGGCTTTTGAGATTACAATTAAAAGCCCCCTGGTTATTCCTGAAAGTTTCATTAATGAAATCAAATTACAATTTTTGCAATCGTTTTAAATATTTATTGGCATTTAAAGCTTAAAGAAGCTCATGTGACTAATTAAATGTGAACAATGTCGCTTAGTGTCTTCACACATTATTTCGAATGTATAATTAATGGTCTGAGTAGTATCTTTTCGTGTAACTGGAATATTTTGCAAGGTTCTACAATACAGATTCGATTTAGCTGAGGAAAACTTATATCCAAGTTTATGTACTTTCATTCGAAGTCTTTCCCATCGATAAGGATTTCCTTTGAAGTTTCTATCTCTAGATAATTAATATTCAAATTTTTAGCTTGAGTTTGTTCAATGATTTTAATGATTTACAATTTTTTATTTTACTTATTCAATAATTTTGTTGATTGCTATGGAAATTAAAGTTTACCCCTGCCAATCAAGTAGCCACACGCAAAAAATATGACATTCCATGTTCAGAATCTTAATGAAATTCGAAATCTTTAATCGAATATTACCCAAATATATTTATCATATCTCATTCTTCATTTATCCCCGATCAACAATGAAGCATACAAAATGAAAGTACAATCGGCCAGAATGAGGCCGATGTCGCTTTTTACCAATTTTTTTCGTTTTGTTTGACAGGAACAATGGCATTCCATACAGCCTCCCTCATATATGTAGTATACGAGTATACTCGTATTCCTTTAGTCGTCATATAATTTTCAATACTCCCCATCTCCTGCATTCACCATACAATATACTCGTAGTTAGCCTTTTTCTCGCTGTGTGTGTGAACACATTTTTGTTCTTCAATTTCATCAGTTTTTCCCCGTTAGTCTTCTCTCCCCTCTCCACCCTTTCTCTTTTTTTATTTTTTTCCCCATCCTGAACCAACAATGGACGGGCGAGCAATCCAAAAACGAGCATCCATTTTCGATTTTTCATCATCAATGGGGAAGCACTTCTTCTTTTGGCTTGACTTATTTCTTTGGCCATGTATTTTTTTTTTCCTTTTTCCCGCCCGTTTTGTTTCCTGCAGTTTTATTGGAACGCTTTTGGCGCTTTCAGAGAACGCGTGGGGCGCTCGCCGGGCAGCCTTTTTGTGACGGGTCTCCGCGCTGGCCATTGTTTACTTCCGTTTCCGGTTGGCATGGGGCACGAAGGGGAGTGGAGTGGCATGGAGTGTGTGGCACGGAAAAGAACAGCGGATGGGGGGCTGCGCATATGCAAATATTTTCAACATGATTGCATTTTTCTCTCTTTTGATTTCTTGCCTTTGTGTCTTTTGCCCACACTCCAGGGTTCTTGCTCCCTGTCCTGTGTTTGCTCTCTCCACTGACTTTTTATTGTTAATCGAATTGATAAAATTAAAAATATATATGTACAATATATATAATATATCCTTTGTATACCCTTCGAGAGGGTGATACGAATATGTTCTCAAGATGGGTACGGACGTATCGCTCTCAATGCAAGTGGATCGCTTCGCCACTGGACTACAGAGTCATTGGACAACCTTCATATCTAATACAGTATATATGTACATATGTACCCTCTGGATAACAGGAATTTGAATCTATCATATATAAAAGTATTTTTGAGCAACATTTCCAATAGCAGCATATTCTTACTCACGGATGATGGTAATATCCAACGAGTGTGATCTCCAAGAGTATGTCAACCTTCGGTCTTTTTTTTTATTCTTTCATTCCTGTGATATATATATGTACAATGTACATCCTTCCCAAATGAAATTAAAGTTGCAGGTAAAAGGGGAAATTGGCTTTAAGCTGAAATTACATTCCATTACCGGTTAACATTTGGTGTCCCTGTCACAGCTTTTTCTCTTATCTCATTTGTCATGCACTGTCTGTCTCTCTTTCGGTAAAAAAGATAGAGAGAGGTCTGGGAACCCCACTCACATGTCGCTTAAACGTAATTAAATGAATTTGTTTATTTTACAAAATGAGCTTCGCACTTTTCACGCGCTTTTAAGCACATTTTGAGACCTTCCTGTTTTTTTGTTTTTTTGGGGCGGCACTAATTACGTAAAAATATTTACACTTGCCACACATTTGGCGGTACAACCCATTCTCTTGGTCCCATCTTGGGGTTTGCCTTTTAAAACGAATTTCTCGCGCTCCTTTACTCCTTCTCCAGGGAGATTCTCATTTTATGTCGTGTAAATAAAAATTAAAACACACTCACTTTTTGGCTCCACTTGATGGTCTTTTTTTACCATTTCGCTTTCTTTCAGTTCGGTTCGGTTTGGTTTGGGTAAAAGTTTTTAAGCGACTTTTTGTTGCGAGTGTTTAATTTTTAAAGACTTTGTGTTTTGGCGGCTTGCATTGGGGTGGGGGTAGTCATATAAATTATGCTAACATTGAAAAGTTGTTTTGTGTTTTGTGTTAAACTGTTTGATTATTCTTTTAATAAAACTGATCCACTTTTTCAGGATTTTTTTTCAGTATATTTGATTAGGAAAATCTGCACAAAATCTATAGGAAAATGTAAAGTCAAACTTTTGTTATCTTTCAAAGATTGTTTTTGATTGCTTGGTATAATTGGGTCTTTTATCTTTACGCATCATTTCAAGAAGAATCGGGCTAAGAGACAGCAGAGTTACTTGGGTTATTATTTATGTCTGGTATACATTTTTACACTCATTCACTTAAGATACTTAAATATTTCTCTGGCAAATTGAAACTTGCCATGTTTATGATTATTTATGTGATTAGTCATATGGGTATCAAGTTACTTGGGTAATTAACGAGTATTATTGTACATTTTTTAAATTCTTTGTAGAACAAAACAATTCCTAGTCTTACTTAAGAGATTTTTAATTTATTCTGACTGGCACTGAAAAATAACAGCTACTGTGCGGGTCAGTGTAAAATGTATTTAATGATTTATTTTCTGATCCCAAACCTAAGAAGAAAACCGACTTGTATTTCCAAGACGAACCCATAAACCAATTCGTGCCTTTTAATTATTTTATTGCCGTCATAATTATACCATCGAGATTATTTGCAGAGGCGCAACGCTGTTGCTGCACAGCCCCAAGCCTTTTAAATCAGCGGTGGCCACGCTGTCGCGTCATTTGGGCATTTGCCGCATTAGCTTGTGCATCTCGAGTCGAGCATTAATGGATATATAATGTATGTTCTTTTTGCTGGTATTCTCTTCTGTGCCGCGTCATGAAATCAGCTATGACAGTATAGGAAAGCATTTTATATTGTTCATCGTCAGAAATCGTCTAGAACTAACCACTCCCACATATGCTGCGTGGCATGAGTACCACTAAACAAACTAGCAAACTAAAACTACATACATCAAACATGAAACTGCGCTCTGACTTTGGCTATAAATCACATCGAGCCAGAAAGTTGCTCAACTTACTTGACTATAAAAAATACTGCTGGAAAATCTCCTACACTTCCCGCAGAGATAATCAAATGTGGTTCAGCTGTCAAATTAGTGGAACTCATACTACACATACCATATACACAGAGTGGAACTAAGTGACAGCTACAAATCGCTGCGAATTGGACACGAAACAAACTAATCATGTATGCCCAGGCAGATCCTGGCACAGGGAAAGGATGCGAGTAGTCGTAGAACATAAAGAGAGGGAGGAGGAAATGCGAAATCCAATCGATAAATGCATGAAATGCAGGAAGGAAAAATGCAAAAGGGAGTTGTCGGTGTGCCCATCCTCCACATACAGCGAGGACAAAGGAATAAACAAGCAAGGCAAAGGCTAAGAGGAAGTTGGTATTGGTAGCAAACGAGTGCCAGAGCCAAAGATAGAGTTAAGTCGGAGCTGGGACTCTGAGGTAAGTTGACTTACTCCCCTATTGGTATTGGCATATTGGGAAAGGTAAAGTTTTCCAACGCCAAAGTGGATTGCCTCTTGATTAATTAAAAGCTCTTTGATGCTGCTTCCATATGGGTGTGTGTCGAACTTCACCTATTCCTAGTTTTCCTCCTGTTTTCCAGATCCTTGTGCCAACTCTTAGCCATGGGGCTTTATGTCTGTGTGTGTGTGTGTGCTATTGACAAAAGGCATTTGCAGCAGTCAAGGACGCAATCGAGTTGGCATTGCACACTCAAAGGAGAAAGAGAACAGAAAAGCTATCCGGGAAAAGAGTAGCAGATAGAAAAGGAGAGCAGGCGCTAGAGGGCTTGAGAGCCAGCAAAAACCCCAGCTGCCAAAATAGTCCTTTAAGTCCTACGCAAAATGTGTGCCAATTTGGGTGTTTGTATTGTGTGTCCTCTGCTAATGGTTTCCCCCAGCTTTCAAATGTTTCGGAATACCGTACCGTACCAGTATCTGGCATACGAAGTCCCCCACCCCACTGAAGCGTAAATCAATTGCTTGCCAAAGGAGCAAAAGACGTAACGAAGTCCAGGACAAAGGGCGCAAAACTCGAGCTAATTGCTTAAAGGTGACCCAGCCAATTGGCAGTCCTTGTGATAATTAACATCCCCAATTAAGTAGGAAATACCCGCAACAATCATATCTGAGTATGAGTAGTCTCCATCTACAGACAATTTGCGTCATTAAATAAACAAATCAACCAGAAATTGGCCAAACACATATCTCCTCAAAAAGGGGAATGTAATAAAGCAATAAAAAAAAATGCCGCACTGCCATAAGCTCTAAATAAACATAGCAGGGAGATGGCGTGACCAGATCTCGCATGAGCATCGATATGAATAACATGAACACGAACCAGAGACGTGGGTTGCGATTCACTGAATTGGACATTCAGTGCAAACATGGAGCTAACGGAAGAGAAGCAGTGCTGTCTGTCTGTCTCTCTGTCTGTCTGGATGGAAGATATGTATGAGTATTAAGAATGCTAAAAGCGAATAAACAGAAAGACAGGTTGAAATTTTATTGTGTTTACTTAGTTTAATTATCAGGAGACACGATGTGGGGCTGCACTCAAATGTTTCCTTTGGAAAGAAGCGCGTATTATTGAAGGATTTTTCCGTATTTAGCAAACGGAAACTGGTTGGGTTGTAATCTTTTCGTGGCTGAATAAACTATTCTTAATCTGGATGTTTATTATTTACTATACTTATATTTTATTCTTTCTTTTCACATCTTTCTAATCACATATCTTTGTGTACACAAAAAATAGAGTTAGGATTGCAGTGGCTGTTTCTTATCATAAGACAGAGTGGAATGTTATATTTAAAATAAACAGTAATTGTTCAATATAATGTTGCGAAACATCGATCTAAGGCTACCTGAATATCAAAATAAACTATTGAGTAGTTTAATCTATTTGTCTACGAAAATCAAAAAAATTCTCTTGGGATTATATTTCGTTCTATAAAAACTTTTCAAATAGTTAGCCCCATATTTTCAAGTTATGTACTACAATGTAAATATATTAACTGCGCCCCACCAACCAACTTAAACTATCCCCACTAATACACATGTTCCTTTTAATTTAGACTCTCCTCTCGTTAATAGGATGTTAATAGCTCTGTCATCAGAATTTCAATCTTCCAGCAAATCAATTTCCCCTCCATACGCCATGTCGTATTAAACCATCATCAACTCCACATAGAAGGTATCCCGTTCCAAGAAGCTGGAATCATCCTGAAATGACCAGCCAGCCACCAGCCTCATTTTAGCTTTATCAAGAGCCAGCCATCCCAACAACCTTAAGAAAAAGTTCTGCCAAGCTCTTCTGAATACCATTAACATGAGTTCTCGTGTCTCTGCTGCGATTAGGAATGGGAGGAAACCGGTTAACCTATGGATTCATCCATGGATGACGGCCAACAACCAAAGGGACAGAGGGCCCAGAGTCAGGCTTAATGGCGCCAACTCCGATTACCAGAACATAGACATTAAATGCAGAGGAAGAGGAAGTGACATTAATTGCATTGATTTAGCGTGCCCTCCAGTCCAGCTAGCCACTGATAAAAGTTAGCCAGGCCTCCATTATTGGATGTGGCTCCCAATGCGAAAGTCAACAAACCCCAGCAGGGGAATGGATATTGAGTGGTGCTGACTGGCGGTGTCCGTTCCGTTCAGAGCATTCAATGCGCAATGCATTTCCAACAGTTTGAAATTGTTACTAATGAGAAATTAATTTGCAAAATGCTAATCAAGTGGTGGCATTCGGCAGGCGGTTGGTTGGCCATTTGGTCGGATATCCATTCTAATTCCATTTCAAACGGATCGAAACAAGCCGAACCGAGTGATTTAATTAAGACGGCTTGCACGTAGATGTATTTCAACATAGGCCTGGTTTGGACTAATGTCCATTTAATTGTTTTTATTGGCAGCAAACTTAAAAAATAAGTTTAAAAATAATTTAAAGCCGACTTTGGTAACATGATTCACTAAACCAAGTGCCTTGGCAATAAGTTTTTGCTAATCAAGGAGCCTGAGCAACATGTTTCCATGACCAATAAACATTACACTGTGCTACAGTCTATGCTTAAGCCCTAAAAATACAGAAAAATATGTCATCGTCTAATATCTTTATGTATCAGCCATTGCTTATCAAAACTCCATATAAATAGTTCTTGGAGTTCAACAAGTTTAATTTTGTAGCACAGTGCTATTATTAGCCAAGTGCTAGGGCTGCACAGCGATAAATAAGCATCGCGCCATAAATATATCAACAGACAGACAATTTGGGGCGTGTGTTACATTAATCAAAACCTGAGGAATATTTCACCTGGTGGTTGCACTTCTCTCCCTCTTCGATGCGCTGCGAATGCAATCAGCATTTCAATTTGTTCAGACGCCCACGCGGTGGTCACTTTTTATAGTTTCGTGCGTGCACGTGTGTGCATGCGTGTGAGTAATTGAATCTGCTGATTGATTGATTGTGATTGATTAATGATTTTTAAAGTGCGTGCGTGCTGACGTTGCAATTGCAGTTGCAGCTTCTTGGAAGTACGCCTCGATGCAAATCAATTAAGCAAATCAATTATGTACTTTAGACAATTCGAATTTTACCGCCAATTGACGAGCTCTCTGACAAAAGCTCATTGTTTTGCAACACAACCTGTAGGCTTTGAGAACATGCTGTCACACTTTCTTGTTATCGGTTCGTTTTAATATTTCCACGAAATTTATTTAAATTTAACATACTTTACGCTGTATAGGATAAAGATTTCGGTGGTCATTTTGTTTTGTAAGTAAAGAGGAGGATGGAGCTACAAGGAGCCTATTATTTTCCGCGGTTTAACAAAGGGTGCTCAACTTTTTAAATATAGGGGTGTTAAGTTGGTTAAGTCTCGTTTGTCGCCGGATTGCCCTGGTTTTTTTATGATATGAAATTGATGTATCTATTGGATAAAAATATTTGTTTACGGCTGAGAGGGCCAACTAGCTAGTAATATTAACCGGAACATCAAATTCGAGGAATATCAACGTTGAATGTTTTGAAAAAAACAGTCGATACTATCGTAATAGTATCGGGCTCAAATAATTATTAAAAAACCATTTAAACCTTTTAGGAACTTGTCCATTGTGAAAATTAGATGCAACCTGTCGATTTGTTTACAAATGTGTCTTCGTATTTCATAGCAGCCGATCCAAACATATCAAAAGCGCAACGACTGTAGCTCGATACTATCATGATAGTCGCAAAACCATCGATAGTAGAGGCTAGCAGTAAAATATCGATTCTATCGATAGTGCCCTCGATGGTTTGCCAAAAAAACGAAAATATTTTTTAAAGCGAAAAGAAAAGGACTTTAAAATGTCTGTGCTGCGTTTTCTGGTGACGCGCCAGGCCCTGGCAGCACTGTGCAGGCCAGCGTCCATCAATCTGCTGCAGAATCGGGCACAAATCGCACTCGCCTCCACTCTGACGAGCAGCAACAACAGCTGTCTGAAGACAACCCCAACAATTTCCGATGGAAGTCCGTGCCAAATGCAGATTAGAGGACACAAACGCTTTGGCCACGAGCAGGAGAAGACCCCACAAGTGACCAAATACTTTCATGGACTCATCCTGGGCCTGTTCCTCATATCCGTGCTGGACTGGGGCAAGTAAGTAACCAACAAACAAAAAATCTACTACGTAAATTCGGTGGCTACAATGGAATCTATTTTTAGAGTGAAACGTTTGCTGATGCCCAAAGTTGATGCAGATTCCGGCCAGCGCCCGTCTTCGGCAGCTGGCGTGAATGGAGAGGACAACTCGGACTCCGAGAGCGACGACAGCGATGAGGATGAATCCAACGGCGGCCTGCATCTCCATGAGGGCAAGAAAATCCGAGAAAAAGTTGGTTTCCGCGAGCGCAAGGTACAATCCAGCTTATAGGAAACTTTTCTTCTCTTTCTTATCATTTATATTAAATTTTGTTGTTTTACCAATATTTTTGCTTTTCCTTTTATGTTGTCCCCATCTATATGTATTTTGCTTTACCATTACACACCATAAACACACCCATGAAGATTATTGAGTATGAGAATCGCATACGTCAGTTCTCCACGCCCGATAAGATCTTTCGGTACTTTGCCACAGTGCGCCTGCAGGATGCCACACAGACGATTGTGTGCATGACACCCGAGGACTTTCTGCGCTCCATCTATCCGGGCATCAAGCAGCCAGATGGTAAATGTTTCATCCCGTACCCCTCCCTCCTCCACTAACATCAGTTTGTAGTTTCCTTTTTGCGTTTTTTCTTTGTTGTTTTTGCTTGTCTACCACTGCTCGTACGATTCCCTATGCTAAGTTAATGTCCTTTGCCTTAGATCATTGAGTATGAGAATCGCATACGTCAGTTTTCCACGCCGGACAAAGTATTTCGCTACTTTGCCACCATCCAAGTGCCAGTGGCCGATGATCGTCATGAGGTGTATATGACACCGACCGATTTCTTGACCAGCATGACGCCAGGCATGAAGCAACCCGATGGTATGTGCTTGATACCCAAATAAAACAAAGAATCAAACACAAATATCAGCAGCAAAATTGGTTTTACTACTAATACACTTAAAATTTCTTTATGGATTTTCTTACTAAATGTTTCTGCTCTCCATTTTTAGGTCTGGGTCTGGATCAATATCGTCGCTATGATCCCAAGGCAAGTGTTTAATTATTTTTCACTCTTTTGATCGCTAAAAACAACCCTGTTTCGCTTGCAGTCTGTTGGCGAACAACTGAATCTTCACTTGGAGAAGAACAGCATCTTCTATAAGCTGGGCTCCTACGGTCTCATCACCTTCTCCGACTACATTTTTCTGCTGACAGTGCTCTCAAGTAATTCAATTAAGGAAATATCTGTAACCTTATCAATTTACATGTTTCATTGATAGTATCCCGACGTCACTTTGAGATTGCCTTCCGCATGTTCGATCTGAATGGCGATGGTGATGTTGACTGTGAGGAATTCGAGATGGTGGCCACTTTGGTGAGGTCACAGACGAGCATGGGTACCCGACATCGTGATCATGCCAATACGGGCAATACCTTTAAGGTAAACAAAAATCGCTTGGAGTGATACTAGAGTATAAAGGAGATACAAAAGAGTACCAAATGTGTTGTACTAAACGAATCCTTTTTGTATATTTTGTATATTCTCTGTCTTTTGGCTTTGATCCTATATTGAACGCGTGTCTAACTGTGTACATAAGAAATCTTAACTTCCCTCTGTTTTTGACGTACTTACAGTCCTTGAAGGTACTTTTGTGTGATAATGCTTATTCACTTCTTTTGCCCTTTCAAAATGTGAACATACCTTTACCTTAACCCTAACAGACCTCCACATTCGCACCGAACTAATCACCCACCTACACCCACACGCACATTATTTGCCTCTCCGCTCGGAACTTAACTTACGCACTTGCTCCCATGCACCTCAGATTAATCTTCTTGATGTTTTTTCCTTCTCTTTTATTGAAGATCCATTAACAAGTTCTTTAAAATCCTCTCCACAGGGCGTAAATTCCGCTTTGATCACGTACTTCTTTGGCCCCAATATGGATGAGAAGTTGACGATTGAAAAGTTCTTGGATTTCCAGGAGCAGCTGCAGCGTGAGATCCTCTCCTTGGAGTTCGAGAGAAAAGAACCCAATGACGATGGCAACATCACGGAAGCTGATTTCGCTGAACTCCTTTTGGCCTATGCGGGCTATCCTTTAAAGAAGAAGCAAAAGAAGTTGAAGCGTGTGAAGCGTCGCTTCCGGGATCATGGCACGGGCATATCCAAGCAGGATTATCTGGATTTCTTTCATTTCCTGAATAACATCAACGATGTGGACACAGCACTAACCTTCTATCACATTGCGGGCGCATCAATTGATCAGCAAACGCTGCAGCATGTGGCCAAGACAGTGGCTATGGTCAATCTATCCGACCATGTGGTGGATGTGGTCTTTACCATCTTCGATGAAAACAGTAAGCGATATCTTTGCCAATATTATAGAATACTATATAACTGTATTTTAATCTCCCTTTAGATGACAACCAGCTGAGCAACAAGGAATTCATATCGGTGATGAAGAATCGCGTCCAACGCGGCCTGGAGAAGCCCAAGGATACGGGCTTCCTCAAAATGATGCGTTCGGTGTTCAAGTGTGCCAAGGAGACCAAACCTGTGCTCCTGGACATATAGTAAAGGGTTCGAGAGAGTCCTTTGTGGATTCTTTTACTACTTGTGCCCCAATCTTAGTCATTTTTCCTACGCTTATACATAGTTCTCTGCCTTATTTATTATTTTTATTTTTTAGTTAATGTTTACTTAAATCGATTTTATCCTTGGGGGTTCTTTGATGATGATTATCTCTTGTAAATTTCACCAACTCTTGTGCGCTTAATACGTTTATTTTTTAATAAAAAATACATACATATATCATAATAAATACAAATACACAATTAAAAGATAAGACCCTATTTATAGGGGTCATCGCTCAGTTCATAGAAATTTCTTATCATAATATGGAAGAAGCAAATAGTAGGGATATATAAAAGAATAAAATATTATTCCATATCGTAAATTATTACTGGAAGTTCATTGCGAATACGATCCTTACACTATATAAGGATTAATATAAATATTGGGCGATTCTTGAAAGATGGAGCTTATTATAGGAGCTTTTGGTAGCTAAAATCCAGTAATAAATTGAAAATAATTTCAAATAAATTATGAATGTTTCATTCAATGCAAAAGATTAGATAGAAAATACTGCCATACAGGATAGGAATGTCTTGATTTTATGCAGGATTTGTAATCCTGTTTGAGAGCATCCACACGCGCTCGTCACTCACAGTGAAAGTTTATAAAATAAATTAATGATTCAATCATCGCGTATATGTAAAATTCGTTCTTTCGATCCGTTAGGTGGCATCACAGTTGGGCCACATTCGCCTGCTCTTCAATGTCCACATCATCCACACTCATGCCGTACAGCTCCATATCATGCTGCTTAAGATGTGCCGTGTACGCATCCAGTTCGGTGAATCTCTGCTGGCACTCGCAGCACTCCAGCCAATCGTCCACAGAACTGTCGCCATCGTCGCTTTCATATGTGGATTTTTGTTCGCCGCTGCTTTCCTCCTCCTGGTGCGCGGCTTTGTGGGATGTGTAGTCCAGATAGTCCTGGAACCTCAAGGGACAACGCAGGCACTTGTACCAGCGATCCCGGACGTGGGTGACCATGTGCTTCTTCAGGGTGGAGCACTCGCGGAAGGGCTTGCGGCACTTGGTGCAGCTGAACGGCTTCTCGCCCGTGTGGATCATGTAGTGGCGCTTGAGGTTGTGGCGCGTTCCAAAGGGACGGTGGCACAGCGGGCAGGGATAGGAGCGGCGACTCCTGGAGGGTCTCATCGGGGCAGCTGTGGCTGTGCCGTCATTGCTGAGGGACGAGGATGAGTTGGCGCTGCTGCAGCTCAGTGGCAGGGGCGGACGTGCAGGGGCAGGTGGCTGTATTGGCAGTAGAGCAATGGCCTCTGGGACAGGTGGAGTGGGCTGTGGGAGGATTGGAACTAGGGTCACTGTCAAAGTGGGTGGGGGCGAGGGCTGAGCCGGTAGTGATGTGGCATCCTCTAGATCATCCCCTCTATCGTCCTGTTCCTGCTGCTCTTCCTCCTCTTCCTCCTCTTCTTCATCTTCTTCCATCTCTGCCACAGGATCATCCTCTGCTGGCTCTGTTTCATCCGTTTCCGGCTTCACCATGAGATTCTTGCTCTCGCAGTCCGCACAACGCGTCGAGTCCTGCTCTGTGGGCGGCCCCAAATGGCAGATCATGCAGATGAACTGCGGATCGTGGGAGTGCCTCCGGCGATGCTTCTTCAGATCGCTAAACTCTCGGAAGCGACGCTCGCACAGATCACACGGGAAGGGACGTTCGCCTGAAAGGGAGAATTGATGGAAAATATCAGTAAATAGCATCCTGTTTTGGGTTCGATCTCTCACCTGTGTGTATCATCATGTGGCGTCGCAGATTATAGTTGGACTGCACCTTCTTACCGCAGGCGGTGCACTCGAAGACATGCCGTCCGCGGCGGTTAATATAAGGACGACGTTTGTTCGACCTTCTATGCTTTTTCTGCTTGGTGGGCCGCTGCTCCTTCTCCTCCTCATCCTCTGATTGCAGGACAATCACTTGTTCCGGCTCCTGTTCCTCCAGTTCACAGCTGACGGCAGCCAGTGGAGCAGTCTCCTCATCACTGGGGTCTTCTGGCTCCTCTTCCTGCTCCTCCTCGCTGTCGCTTAGCTCGATCTTCGCCACAATGCGATGCTCCACTCTGGGGATCAATTGGATGTCGGGTGATGTGCGTTTCACTGGCCAAATTCCTGCCAAACTTCTGGCTGCACTGATGATCAAACCGGAGGGTGGCTGTTCCTTCTGCTTTATCCCCTCTTCATCCAGTACAATGATTTCCAGTCGATCCTTCTCTCTTTCCAGACGACGCTGCCTTTCCAGCTCCTCCTGCTGCTGTTGCTGCTGCTGCTGCTGCTGGCCGATTCTCAAAAGCAGCGCCTTGATCTTCACATCATCGATGGACACAAAGTTCTCCTCCGGCTCGTGGTACTCGTATCGAATGGCATCCTGTGGCAGCAACTCGCAGCTGGCATCGCAACACGAGGAGGCACTGCAACAGGAGAGGGGGCATTCAGTGCAGCATTCCATGCAGGACGCAGCAGCGGCTGCTGCTCCAGAGGAGCACGTTGATTTACTCATAGCCAGCTCCATGGCCTGCATAGCAAAAGAAAAAGAGGGATAGAAAGAGTGACACACCAATTAACAGTTAGTCAAATGCTGCACGTACATATATGCATCCCCTTCGCTCTTGCTTATCCTTACCCGGAGAGGATCAGCATCAACAAAAGCTGAGAGCAGAAACAATTTCCAACTTTCTGTTTTTTGTTTGTTTGTTGTGCCGCAGATTTTGCGAATAATACTATTGGCGCTCGCTCCCGTGTTGCCCGTCTGCCTCTGACGCCGTGCGAGTGAAGAAGAAACTGGATTCGCGGCTTCGCTCGGGCTCAGCAACCTCTCGACAAAACGCCACAAAAGTCGAGTTTCAGCAGTCGACGCTGGCAGCGACGCGACGCCAACGTGCCCAGCCCCTGCCCCCCTGTTGGTCGTCCGGTGCCGTCTGCCTGGTCTGTGCTGTCTGTGAATCAGCGAAGCGCGAGAGCACGAGAGAAGGCAACTCAACTGCGCTGCAGGCTTTTTTCCAATACACGAGCGCAGCGTTGGCGTTGGCGTTGGACCTCCTCCTGCTCCTCCTCTCCTATCACCACCCTATCCACTGTGTTTGCGTGCGTTGGTTGTTAACTTGATTTTTCTTTGGGGGCACTGCACATGCTGCCTGGCCTGCCACACACACACACCAAAACGAAAAACAAAGAAAATGCGCACAGGGCGGACCGAAAGCGTGCCCCAAAGCTACAACAACACTGCAACTGCAACAGCCGCAACATACAAACTCACGATTTTCAAGATTACTCTGAGAGTGGAGCCGGAGCCATAGCGGGAGAAGGGGTGCTGGTCGAGAGACAGGAGAGTCAGAGCCAGCGCAGCCAACGACGGCAATTGACGTCCGAGCACCGTGCGCAATAATTTTTGTTCTCTTCTTTTATTTATTGTTCTTTTTTCTTCTCCATCTCATTCTTTGTGCTTCCCTGTGCCTGTTGCTGTTATTTCTTCCTCCCACTTCCCCACTCCTCCCGCTTAAATGATCGAAATATCATCGCCGAGAACCCTTTTTCGATGGAAACTTCCACGTGGTTTCTGGAATGGCGTGTGAAGTTCTCATTTGTATGCCTCTAGCGTGGGGGCCATTACCGATTACATACAGAGTTCTGGCCCGGATCTAGAGATCTACTCCTCAATGCTTGGCTAGGCTTTCGATCCGGGAACGGGGGCAATGGAAATGGGAATGAGAATTGGATTGGATTGGCGATCGTGACTACAAGTACGAGCAACACCGCGCACACTTATTTCTTTTTTGCTTTTTCAGCTTTTGCTATAAAACTTGTTTATATCGTATCCCCACCACCGTCCACCATACACCATACACCATCCACACACGCTGCAAACGCCCACTCGGTCCGGGCCGGGCCTGGCTTGGCCTGGGGGATTGGCACCGTCATGAACATCCGTGTTGGGGATTGCATTGCATGCGTGTGTGTGTGTGTTCGTATGAGGCGCCTGCATTTGTATATGTTTGGAGAGCAATGCTCGGCTCGGTACGATAGTAGCCCCAGGTGTTCGAACTTTTTCGCAATGTGTAAATGAAATGTAGCTGCATGTCGAATGGATATATGAACCCGTACACATATGTATGTACATACATATGGGCTTGGCAATCATCACGATATCATGATAATTGGTGCCAATCTGTTTTCGAAATTCCTTTATATTAAATTTTCATTGCCATGGAATAGTCAGTTCTGTTCATATTAATTTATTTTGTACGCTTAAAGGACCGAAAAGGGAGTGTGGAGAACGAACTCTGCATCAGAGCTATACGAATCATTTCGCATTGTGTAAATAAAATGAATGTACATCTGTATACAGAAATGGATGTACTCATACACAGAGTTTTTTAATCATCACGATATCACGATAATTAGTTGCAATCTGTTGTAGATTAAATTCTCATTGACATACATATTATGGTATATATGTATGTATGAATTATTACTCTTCTTAATCCTATCTCTATTATAGTACATACGAACATATGTACTTGAATGAATGGACTTTTGAGGAACATTTAGATTCAGAGTAGGTCCCAAACTTCCCAATAAGTGGTATGCTCATACATATGGACTTCCAAGAAATCCTTGATTATAAAAGGGAATTGTATTACTGTTAAGAAAAAATGCTGCGAATAAGAGCCAGCCTTGCACGACACTTCCCCCACAGGCAATTTTGTTGTAAGTATTTCCATTTCCTATAAATACTCGTATTGAGCTTTTATAACTTCATGATATGTGATAATGTGTCGTAATATTTTACTTTATTTATACCTTGCTATCTTTGAAAGATACAAGTATGTACATACATGCGTGTGATGTACGCTTCAATTATTGACAAATGAATTTCATTTGGAAGACTTATATCATCTGCTTTCCTCATTTACTGTAATGGTACTACCTACCCATCTCTGTAGTATAGATAGTGCAAAGTATGTGAAAAGGACAATAAACCATATTGTCTTCATAATCCTTTTTTAATCTTAGACATCAGGATACTTTTCCGTAATGCATAATCATCGTTTGTTTTTCCGAGATGGTACATGCATTCTTTAAATATTCTAAAAATACGAACAGAATATACTTGGTTAGTGTTTATATTAGGAGTATGTTTATTTCGATTATTGTTTATATTCATATTAATTGCTGTTCAAGAAAAACAGCTCTGGGTTTGTTTGAATACTATGCGATTACCAGAACATATTTCAGATTATATTTCATGCCAATATCTTTTTAAATGAATGATAAAATAGACTTTTTTGATAAATTCAAATACTATTTGGTTTTTTCCATCGAAAGGATGGATTGTCCAGCAGGATAATCCGAGTTTGAGTTTTAGGGAACTAAATGTCAACTTAATAATTGAGGATTATATACCATCCAAGTATCTAATTTGTTTCTGGTTATCTGAATGCTTGAATAAATTCTTAATTCTTAAAAAGGCTCTTACTGTTTTGCTATGGATATGGCCTATCTACTATATATCATATTCATTTGGCAAAAAAAGTCTACATTTATTTAGAGATATTATATGTACATATCTATATGTCATCAAATATATGAATATTAAAAACCAAGCTAACCAAGTCCTCGGTATTCCCAGAAGATTCATATTTTAACTTATATTTTACAATATAAAATCAAAGATTATCTTCTATAATACTTTTATGGGAGCAATATTTCACATTTCAAAAAGTACGAGGATCTCCTCCCATCGCTGTTTCAGCATTCCATTCGATTAGATCATCGTAAATCAACCGAAAGATACATTAAAAAGATTCATTTCCAAAACTGACGTCACTTTTCGTATGTCAGAAATATATAGATGGAATTTCTCTGTCAGATGCATATAGATTGAAATTCTCTATCAGAGATATACTCGTATACATATATTATATGCATGTCTAGAAAACCCAAAAATATCTGCTCAATTTGTTCTAACAAAAAAAATCAATAAACATGTACATCAAATGATATTGACAAAATTTTTAATATGCATTTCTTTCCATATGTGGATCCTTTCTAGATATAACATTTCCTGAAGCTACGTAAATTCGCGTACGATAATTACAAACGAATCGTAAAACTATAATAATTGTATATATGTATGTATATCGATCAGTTTATAGCGGGAATATATGCATATATGTATGTATGTACATACGTAGCCCCGCACTTAATTGGATCACATATATAATGTTTGATTACATAGAGGAAACATATTTGGCAAAATTGGGTTCTTGTTAGCTATCATCTAAGGGGCGACTACGAACTAACAAAAGTAAATATCCATAATAATATGGATACTTATAAATATACAAAAAACATTGGAAATTGGTAGAAGAAAACATACATCATAACATATAGAGGAGCTTTAAGTTAATAACTCTTTTGCCTAGTGCCTAAACCTTAGGCTAAACATATTAAAACAAATGTTTGCTAAAGGTGAGGGGTGGGGTGTGTGTGTGTGTGGGATTGCTTGATGATATGCTTCTAATCGAAGGCAGTTTGTGACAACACAAACAACTTAACTATGTACAACAAAGCTATTAACTAATGTGGGACCAATGGATTGAATGGATGGAGCCCTTAGCAGGCTCGAGGACATCTTGGGGAGTGCTTTATAATAAAAATTATTTAATTATCTTAATGTACATGTGGGACAATCCTCCAATTGATTGCTTAAAGCTTTTGCTGCACATCCTTGCTGGCTGCACCACCAGCGCCGCCACCGCCACCACCACCCTCGTGATGGTTAACAATGTACTTCTTGGCTCCCAAGAGGCCCTGCTTGTTGATGTAGAAACTCTTAAGGGCCAGCGGCGAGTTGCCATCGTCCACCACCAGACGATTGAGGAAGGTGGCCGCCGTCTTGGCTCCGCTGTCGCATGAGGAGGACTCTATGCTGATCGTGGAACAGCCCCCGATCGATGACGTCTCGCTCTTGGCATCGTCCATTAGGGTGGCATCGTCGGCCAGATCGTTGACCAGCACTTGGGTGCTCGACGACGCCGTGGAGAGGATGGAGGAGGTGCGACTGCGGCAAGAATTGAGCTCACTCTCCGGTATGGAGATGCCCTCGTCGATGCTCTGGCTCTGACTGCTCCCAGACAGGGTCAGACACATGGGCTCCGATGAGGAGCTGGCATCCATACCAGGTCCACTACTACCACCAGCTCCGGGAGAAGCGGAGCTGGGCGAGGGACAGCCGGAGCTGCTGCTGTTGTTGTTCTGGCCACCACCTCCGACGGCATTGTTTGTGCACAGCTTGGAGATGAACAGCTTGGGTGTGATGCGTCCATCGTATGTGCCCGAGTCGGGGCTGGGACAGACAGAGGAGGGGGATTGGCACACGGGCGAAGAGCCGCGACTTTTGAAGGGGAGGGAAAGAGAGACTTTCAATGGAAGATTTGTAACTGGAAGGCGGCATTTAGACGTACCTCTCTGTGAACATCTTCTTCATGGGCGACGGCGAGTAGACACTCCAGTTGCTGGCCCCGGGATTGTCGTCCAGCTCGAACTTGCGCTTCACCGGCCCCAACTGAGAGGGGCGCATGGCAATCGGCGACATGGAGCGCCTGGTGGCAAAGGTGCGCCGCGTAGGCGACGGCGAGTAGGGCAGACGCATGCCCGCCCGATTGCTGGTGGGACTGGGACTGGAGCAGCTGGTGCTGCCCGTCGGTGGCAGTGTGACCTGCAGCGGATTGGAGAGCTCGTCGGACTTGAACGACCAGTTCTCGGCCACCAGCGTTAGGTCCTCCCAGCTCTGGGAGATCTGTATCTCGCGGTGCACCTCCCGCTCGTGATTCACCTCGCGGCTGTTCAGATCGGCGCACTCCTCCTGCCTCAACTGGGAGACGCGCGGCGTCAGACACAGCGCGGCCCCATTGGCGCCCCCGTTGGCGGTGGACATCGGACTGTAGCTGGCCGAGTAGCGGCGGGCCCGTGGTGCAAATATGTTGAACACCGGCGCCGGCGACACTTCGCGGGAATTGGGCTGCGATCGGATGTGCATGCTCTTGCCAAAGTAATCGATGGTCGAGTTGCATTTGGAAGCGTAGTGCTCCTGCTGCTGGTGCTGCGGTGGGTTCTTCTTTGGCGTCTGCTCATGCTCCTTGGCCGCGGCGGCAGCAGCTGCGGCTGCGCGTGTGGTCATGGGTGCATGCGGCGAGGGTCGCCCGGAGGGTGTGCGGATAATTGGCACACTGAGGCAGCGTTTAAGGGTCTTCGAGCTGCTAGGCGGCGGTGGATCAAGGGTATCCATGGCCACGGGCGTCGCCGATTTGGCCTGCTCCTCGCTGCTGGCTTTCGTCTCCGTTTCCATTCCGTTGCACTCTTCGAAATCCAAGTCTAAAAATATAATAGAGCGGCAAAATGTTTTATTTTCGGCTTGTGGGTTGTTCTGCTGGGGCCAGCGGCCTGGGGCGAGGGTTTCGTTTGGGTTTCGTTGCCGATCGCTCGACAATTTGCCTTTTCGTGTGTTCTTGTTCGGTTTTTTTTTGTATTTTTTTTGTTTTTCTCTATATTTTTGCACACACAATGTTCTCGCTGGCTCCACTTTGGCCACAGCTGATGCGAGAGGGCCCTCCCGTTCAGCGGGCAATATCCAAATTACTACAGAAATTTATATTTCAGTTTCGGACTGCCAGGATTTTTGAGTGGCCGCTGCCTGCAGCCCTCTGCCGGCGTCGCTGCCACAGTTGTCGACTTCAGCTGCCTGGCAATTTTTTTCTACTACAAAATGCGTGCCCAGCGAGGCACTTTTTTGCTTCGTTTTTTGCGCCTTATTCGTAGCGAGCGCTGGCAAATGTGGCTAAAATTAGTTTGTCTAGAGTGTGTGGCACACTTTGGTCTAAACTCTTGTGGTCTTACACGGTGTCTTAAGGGTTTAATTTACTTACAAAATTGTGTCCTGTGATTATAATTTTCAGCTACCCGTTTAGTTTTTTTCTAGTGTTGTATAGCGCCGGTGCTGCTCTGATGGGGCACACGTTCAAACTGTATGGCATTTGAGGCTTGGTAACAAATATCTTTAAAAAATGTTGGCATTTTAATCGGAGTCTATTTAATAACCATTGGTAATGCTGGCAAAAATGTTTTTCTATTTTCTGGTATCAATTTCCACCTTACAAACAACTGTCTTTGGCTTTTCCGCGCTGCCGCAACGAGCTCGGTATTTCTTTGCATGATACATTGGTCTTCATGCAGCTCTGGGTTTTCCTGCTGCCCAACACTCTGCGCGCGCGCATTTTAAATCAACTCGCTGTTGCTGCTGCTGCCGCCCCAAAAAGAAAACTCTTGTTATAGACACATGTTTTATTAATTCATTATGCGGAAACTTAAATAGAAAATGTCGTAAGAGAAAACAATCGTGTTTACAAGCTTCAGTTGTAGTTTTGGTTTTTTTTTGCTTTTGTTTTTCTTTGTTTTTGTCCCATGGGATGGACTATACTATGGACTATGGGATTGGCATTTGTTTTAGTTAACAAAAATCACAAGAAATTATAACAGTCGATCTCCATTATTCAGACTAATTGAATGTGTAAATCATAATACATTATACATTATTTTCAAAAATGTAAGTTAACATTTAACGCTATAATCGTACCGAAAATCGTTTATGGATTTCTTCTACAAGCTAAAATTACATTTTAAGCTAATGGTTTTGTTTGCTTTATGCGTTTCTCTAGATCTCATTTATCTTTCTTTCTGGATGGTTTACAATTGAAATCGTTAATTACTTGACAGATTTTGAATGTTAAATGGCGAAAAGTTTTCAATGAGATTTTTTTGTGTGTTGAATGTAATTTATATGTTGAGTTGGCAAACGGAAGGGCATCTGAGCGGACGTTCCGACGTGGTCGTGGTCCTTAACCATCGGCCAGGCTGGGCGTGACCCAGCCGTACTTCTCGTGTGTCTTCACCAGCGAACGGAACGACTCCTCTGCCTGACGGCTGTACGGGAGGGAAAGCAATCAATCGATTTTAGTTTTTTTAATCAACCATTTCCCCTCGGGCTGCACCTGCACCCCTCAGCCACTCACCGACTAAACTCCTTTGTACATTTTGGTTTACGCATGATACGACCCTGACCCTTGACCACGCTGGCAGAGAACTGCATGATGACGGCCTCCACGGTGTAGGCACTGGCCCAGCCACGGGGCGTGAGCAGCTCCATGCATATGGCACCGCCCTCCATCACATAGCCCTTCTCGATGCGCGGCTCTACCACACGCATAAAGGGCGGAGCAAACGGGAAATTGTCGGGGAAGCTCAAGTGCAGCAGGATGTTTGAAACATTCAGTTCCATCATGTCACGGGCCAGCGGCGAGTCCGGATCAATCACATGCAGTCGCACATGCCACTCATAGAGGCTATCATTGACTAGTTCCACCTGCCAAACAGAGACGCAAAAAAAAGTTGGCTAAACTTGACTATAAATGGAGCAAACAATTTCCAATTACCGTGAACACGGCATCGGACTTGAGCTGCAGTCGCTCCATTTCACGGTATTCCTTCATGAGGCGGCGCGATCGAATGCTCTGATCAGCTGCCACCAACTGACGCCCTGCCGTCGGCGTCACTCTAGAATCACAAGAACATGTGGGTTTTATTTTAGACATAATTTAAACTTAATTTTTTGATAATTTTTTAGTATTCGACTGACTTATGATCCTGTCGTCGACGTTTGCCTGGTGAATCGCACAAAGCCTGCTCGCCTGCCATTCGAACTACAGGATTTTTGGAGTTTGTGGTTCCAGCTGCAGCTCCTAGTCCTCCTACTCCGCCACCGACTTGTCCTGATCCTCCGGCAGCTGTTGAGGTGGCAGCCTCGTTATTATTGTTAATATTGCTTCCAGTAGCTCCATCAACTTTATCATTGTTGTTAATATTATTATTATTGTTATTATTGTTGTTGTTGCTGGATTTATGGAAGATTTTGCGAAATGCAGTGACAACTCTCTCCTTGGAACGCGATGACATTTTAGCAATGATTTTTGTTGTTTTTGTGGTCTCCCTGTTTCTGTTCAAGTGCGTCGTTTTGGTTCTTGTTGAGCGGTGGCGGTGGCTTTGATTCCCAGTTAACAAATATCGTGTGCGTGTGTGTGTGTGTGTGTGCTCGTCGTTTTTCAGTCTTTTTCCAACATTTGTCTTTGTGTGTGTGTGTGTAATGATTGTTTTTTTTTTTTGTTAGTTTGGCGTCGAGTTAATGCTGCAAAGGGGAAAAAAAAAGTAACAAATTAGAGCGGTGGCTGCCATGTAGAACATATTAAATTGTTGCAAAAGAGTATCAGAAACTATATAAAAAATAGATGTTTATTTCGTTGATAGAATGTGGAATGTAAGTGGATTCCATGTGGTGCGCAAAAAAAATAGTAAAAGAGAATACTAGAAAATATATTCCTTATGTAACGCAAACAATTTTATAAAGTTTATATCGAAAATCGATAGTTTGTAGCACCCTGGAACGTAAGGACTCCTTGTGGCATATAAGTATTAAGTATTAATTTTATTAATGTTCCGACAATGTTCCTAACATATTCTTTTAGTTAAGACTAGGTGGAGCATTCCAATAAAGAGGTTCAATTAAGTTACTTAAACTAATCTTTCATACATATTAATAATTTCTGCCCCCTGCTTTTGGTTCTAGCTAACTGTTCAGTCGTACAGATACAAAAAATTCAATTGTCTCAGCACCTCCCCCCAACTTCTACAATATTGGATACCTATCAGAGACAAAAATGTTAGCTGAAAATTCCACATTATTCTAAGAGGAACTTATCGGTCTTCAACTTTATTTGAAAAGTCTATGGGTACACAAAAATTACCATATCTTATTTTGTCAAGGGTGCCATTACTTGGAATTTGATTCCCTAGAAGCAATTTTCATATTTTAGTGGTCGTCTCTTTCCGTCCCACAGAACCGCATGTCTGACCTTGAAATAGACGCATTTTCCCTACCACAAATAAGGCCCCAGCCACCAGAGACTTTTGGCTGTCTAGGGCAGCAGCCGCCATGAGCACAAAACACATCCTTGAAAACCATTTTCAAGCAACAAAATATGTTAAATACCAAGCTTCAGCGCCAACAAAACAACTCGTAAAGAAATTCTGGTAAAGGGACGACGGCATAAAAAAACTTATTACGTCGCATCCAGCAGCTGCCAGGCAGCCAGCAAGAGAAGGAGGAATTGGGCGAGGAGTAGGCGTCTCCAGATAAGAATGAGGATGAGGAGGAGCTGTGCTGTGCTGTGCTCTGCTGTGCTATGGCAAGAGCTAGAACACTCGAGGCGGCACACACACACACACCCGACAGTTTTATGGGCAAAGTTTACACAGCCTCTGGAGAGGCGTTCGCTGCGGCTGCTGCTGCTGCTGCTGTGACGCTGTGTCTCTGCTGTGTGCCAAAGATACCGAAATGGAGACACCCACGCCCACGACCCTTTAGAGGTATTTTCGAGGTGTTGACCATGGTCTCCGCCAAATTGTTTGTCTTGCGCATAATTAGCTCTAGTCCCCCGCCGCTGCACTGGGATTGGTTGGGTGGAGTCTTTGGGTTGGACTTAGGCCAACCGCATTACTGCGGGTGTTACTGAGGTACTATTATTATTTTTATTGTTACAAAGTATAGCAGATAATTGTGAGCCAAGTTTAGAGACAACAATAACAGATATAACGAGTCCAAGGGAAAAGATGGATTTGGTTTAAGATATATACATACATATGTACATATTTATTTTAAAGTATTTTTTCCGTGCCTTGCCTTATAGTCTTTCGCTCTCTCTTATACTATATTTTGCTCTCAGCTTGTTTTGTATTCCCAATCACAGGAATACATTTTTACCCATACACAGATTTTTGCGCCTGTGATTCTTTCCTCATCTTTTATTCATATCACATCGTAATAGTAGTTCCCTCTGTTCCAGCTTGTTAGGCTACACAAATTATGAATGATTGATTAATGGACCCTGGAAGACGTGTGTGTTCATTTGATCTCCTCTAACCAACCTCATTAAGAGTTCATTAAAGTTCGAGCTGCTACCCCAATCGTTTCATTCTTTCTCTTAGTTATGGTCCATTTCCGTGCAACTAAAAGTATTTATAGACAAACTTTTTGCACTCTTGCTTTCAGCTCGAGGAAAAACTGGACTGCTGTGGCACTCTGGTCCGAAACAAAGGCGCCGCCAGTCAGAGGCCAGTGCCAGACCAAAACAAGTTAAAGCAGAAAATCAGACAAAGATAGAGACAGAGAGAGAGAGAGAGCCAGAAAAGTAGTCTGCTCTGCTCCAATTGAACGAAATAAATGTCAAGAATGGTTGACATATTTCTCCATCCACCCACTGGGGAGGAGCCGTTGACAGGCCCTTGAAATACGAGTATTTATATAGATTGGGCGACAAATTGACTACTAGGGTTGCAAATTACAGTACAAACACACCAAATACCAGTGCATATATACATATATCTTATCTGGCGCCAGTAAAATCGATAGAGTCCCCACGATTCCCGCACTGACCTACCCCGGACACACAGATACAGATACGTATATTTAATAATAGCCTTTGCCTTGGGTTCGCCAGCGTTGAATCAATGTTATTTGCAGATCCAAATATAGAGATATGTATGTAGCTGTTGACAGGGCTGTGGCTCTCTCGACTCCACAGTGTCGTTAAATCAGGTGGCGGGGAGCGGCTCTTTTAACTGCCTTGAGGGGGCGTGGGTTAAATGAGTTTTTAATTAAATTTCCCATTGCACAATCCATACTCGAAATGGTCTTCCATTTCAAGTCGATGCTTTATCTTGTCACGCGTTAAGTGTGAAATATTTCCAGTCTATTGGTGCCTTACCACCATTTGGTGACCACGTTTTTATCTTTAAACAGCAGTGGTTGCTGCCTTGGGGAAGTGGGAAAAAATAACCAATCAAATTGACAATTACCAAAGGGAACTGTTTCAATTTAGAGTTATGTTCGATACTGGTGAAGCATTTCTATTTTAAAGATGTAAAACAGCATCGACAATTTTTCTTCAGCCACTTCTGTATTTCAAAGTTGCAAATTTCTTATTGCGAATTTTTTCGGACCGATCGGAAAAACTTTTGTAAGCCTGTGTAAAATAAAAACCAGTAACCCAAACCAATTTTAATAACTTTTTCAGTGCAAAGTTGTAATATTTTCTTCTTGCACATTTGATGTGCAAACATTTCCTTCATAAATATTAAGGAATTATCTTTATAGGAACAGAACAAGACCAATAATTACGATGAGAACACCTTCAACTTAAATCCAAACATTTCAATTATTTAAACAATTTTTGCTTGCTTTACAACACTGCCTTGTTTCTACTGAGAAGCGTGGGAAATTTCACAAAGGTAAACAATTAATTTAACAATATAAAAGAGCTGAATTTTTTCGTTTAATGCATACAATTATACACACAATCCATAATTACGAGTACACATATTTACATACATATCCGAGACTGCAAGACCTACATCCCCCCTCTGTTTGTGTGCTGGTCCGTTCATGTTTAAACGATTCGCGACGTGTTTATTGTTGTTTCTCCATAGCATGCAAATTTTTCCCCTCGCTTGCCGCATGCAAATTTCCCCATGTAAACACGAAAGTAAAAACGAAAACAATACGTATACGGTATATGGTAGTATATCATGTGGAAAAAGGCAAGGAAAGAACCAAACTGAATGTAAAACTGTGCCAGTTTTTGCGCAACTAAAATCTTAAAAACTCTCGTTTCTTATGCGTTTTATTGATTTTCAGTACTGCTGAGTGACTTTTTAATTGCATTCTCCTCAAATGATATGCGGGAATTATTCAAGAGTGAGAGCTTTGCTCATTAATCAATGCTGCTGGTTCTGGGGTGCTGCTGGTGCAGAAATGCGGAAATATTTGTCAAGCGGGTCCGTGGGATGCTGACTAATGGTACCCGGTACCCCCCAGCAACAGTTCTTTGTTCTGTCAGCTATTGCGTTGTGGCCTGCTCACACCCTCTCCTTCTCACTCTGGCTGTCATGGCATTCAGCTGATGCCACGCGCATGGTCATCCTCGCCCAACTTCTCACACTCGCACACCTCCATATTTGATACCCTTTTCTAAGGGTATGCATATGTATATTGACAAGATATTTGTACGAGTATATTATGGCATCTTCTTAAGAACTTTTTCTCTTTAAGGGTATCAATAGCTGCGACTACGATTCCCTTCCATGTAATTTCTTATGCACTTGTTGAGAGGAGGGGCTGCCGCGGCCCTGCCACTGCCTGTTATTGTTCTACTTGCGCTCCTCCTCGCTGTCGTCGGATCGAGTAAGTGAGTGAGGGTCAGTCATCGCTTGTTACAGCTCTCTGTTAATTTATTTATAAACAACTGCCTGCCCGCCGCCACTCGGACTGCACTCGGGCGCATGCAAATTGAATCAAGCACGGATTGCATTCTGCTTGCCCCTGTTTGGAGAACTTTTAAATATGCATTCAGTGTTAATCAAGGCCAGGCCAGGCAGGTTTCCTTTATTTCCTGGCTGGGGCCCGCTAACCAAACCGAATTGCTTTGTCACTCCCTCTCCCGCCAGAGAGTGTGTACGGATGAGATGCTGTGTCGTGTCGTGTCTGGATGAGTCTCTCTCTACAGTCTCTCTGGTTCATTGACTTTTCGGTGGAATTACAGATAAACTAAACTGACTAACGGACTGTGACTGATTGATGCTTTAACCCCATTATAGCAGCCAGGGTAAAGAAAGACACAATAGATGTGCCGCCTCCTCTTTCTCCTTTGACCTTGATGTGTCTCTGTTTTCTCAGAGCTTATCTTTTTGAAGTGAGTGGCGCCATAACGGAGGAAGAACCGAGCAAAGCGAGAACGGAAAAATATCCAACAGAAAAAACATACATGCATACATACATACTCGGTACTCCTTTCGCACTCGCACTCGTTTGCCATTTGCCAATGTATTTATTAAGACTCTCTCAGGCTTTGCCAGGCACGTACGTAGTGCCTTGGAAATGGGAATATATGTGATGCGGGAGGAGAGTGTTAAAAGGATGAAGGGAAATAAGAGAAAAGTGAATAAGAACGGTAGGTTAGGAGATAACAATTTCTAGATACCCTCTACTCACCCACTTCTTCATTGGCTACGTTAAAAAATGTTTTTAGCTGTGTATATAAATCACACATTTTGGAAATGAAAGCGCTATTATTTCTTAATTACTTCTACCATGTTTATAATGCGACAATTGAAGACTTCCAACTGTGTTCACAGCATACCCGTATCATCTAAAAACACAAGGGGTATTAGGATGCAAAGCCCGCGTCCTAGTTCTTCAGATTCTCCTTACCCTCTTTCAGTGCTGTCGTATGTCTTGTTCAAACGGAAGCCATTTACAAAATTGCTTTCAACAGGCAACAAAAATAACAAAATACTTCAATGGGCGAGAAGTGGACTTTGACATGGAGCGTCATTTTAGCGCTTCAGTTGATGACGTTAGTGGTTCGATTGTGGCCGTCGTCCCGGGTCGGGTCTCCCCTCTCTGGCGTGTGTGTGTGTGTGTGTTGGAACCTGTCAATTTCGCTCTGGTCGGGTGTCAATGTTAAGAACTTTGGATATGGCGTATATCACCGACACACGATAAGCACTTGTTGGCGGTTTCAGGCATGTGATTAAATTTCACTCGACTCTTAGTAACCACTTGAAAGTATGCTACAGCATTTAATACGTATTAAATGGTGTAGAAAAGTTCCATTTAATGGGGGTTCATATTATAATTCCTCCCATTGCCAGTCTTCGAGGATTATTATCATACCATTCCTCCAAGGATTGGCTTAACCTTTTCTGAACAAGCCAACTGGATATTTTTCACACCTCTTCTAGCAGATTAGCAATGCTGACGTCAATGGTCTGAGCCAGACAGGGGACTGGCAGGGCACCGACAGACAGCAGCACTCGTATCGCCACCTGCCATATTGTTTATGCTGACTGAAATTGTTTATCACCTGCCACACACACACGCACACACAGCAACACCCACTCCCACTCATGTAAAATGCATAAATTCCACCGATACCATGACCTGAACTCTCTCTCTCGTTCTCAGTAATTGTTGGTGACCCTTTGCTCTGCTATTTATAGAGAGAGCACCACCAACCCACACAAGGGAATGTGTGGGCCCGGGGGGCTGACTTTCATGGCTATGCATAATCAATTTATGTATCGTACATGGGTTAAATCTATAAATTAATTCAGCCGTAAAAATAAAATGCCTACTATGCGATAAAAGCACAAACACACACACATACGATTACTGAATATAGACAAGGATATAGTAAGCTCCACTGATCAAGCTCGATTTAAATGCACAACATGTCACGGAATAGAGAAAGGAAGAGACGCAGGAAGGAAGGAAGGAAAGAAAGAGGATGCAAAGTGCTATGTCCCATTGTGTTAAGTCAGCGGGAAAGGAAGAACGATAAAGCAGGCAGAGGCAGAGGGCATATTATCTAGCTGGCGAGGCTTACTGCCCCTCTCTTCTCTGGTGCTCCTCTCATACGTGGTTCTGGCCTTCATTCATGAATGGCAAACAATGATGCAGGCAGCCCTTTGCGCCCTTTCGACTTCTCAGGCTTGTCTGGGTGTATGGACCATACTCTGTGTTTTTGTGTGTGGGGGCGTGAAAATGTCAGCAGTAAATAAAATTTGAGCATTTGCCGTTGCTGGCGCTTCATTTATTCACTCTTGGATTTATGCCGCTTTTGCTTGCTGGAATTCCTTATATTCCTACATACTACCATTTACTGCCACTGCCTTTCATTCCTGACTGTCACAGGCATTTTTCAGGCAATAAAAACCAAATACGAGTATGCATGAACAACAAGAACAAAAACAACAGAAACGACACTTGACAGCAAGTAAGCACAAAACCAATAGAAAATTGAAATTTTCAGCTAAGCTTTAGCGGCTATTCGTATGCTTCAAATTCTACTGATTCGACGATAGGATTAGTTAGAAGTAGAGGAAAGTCTATTAAGCTTAGGGCTACTTTTTACTAAGAGCTTTTGCCTGTCGAAAACCACTATCTCTAGCTACTTCCAGTTCAAATTCCCTGTAACTGGAGCCTTTTGCAGCCCAAAAGCATTTATTTGTTTACTTTCATTAAATCAATAAATCACATTGCATTAGTAATATTTTCCACAGAAACTCGAAATGTTTGTGTGTTGTAATATGATAACCTTTTTCATATCGAAATATTTCGTTGGATCATTTTTCAAAGGTAAAAGCCGAAATTACTGAAAATTCGTATCGATTTGAATTATTTAACGCTTACAATTATTATAAATGTGGAAAACTATGAAGGAAATATAATATACAAACATTTTATACTCGTAGTCATATCTCTTACATTCATAGCTTGTAAATTTTGCAAACCACAGGCTATGCGAATGCAAAATACCCTCGTAATCTATGAGTCGCGGCTATAAAAACGTAAGCACTACTTACAAAAAAGCTAAAGTACATCTTAAAAATAACCTTCTAGAGATAAGAAAACTTTATATGAGGCTAAGGCTTCACATTGCATTGTTCTTATCTTTCAGAATTTGTTTATTTGCCTTAGACGGCGAGTCCTAACAAATGCCGTAGTTTCCTTGGAACTCACAGTGTGACCATGACTGTGGCCTTGGGAGGGACACAAGCCACAAAACAAAAACTAAAACCGCAAAAAAAAAATCAAGTTCAATGAAAAGCTGACATTGAAACGATAGACAGCATCCCCGGTCCAGTCCATCCCTTTCGCTCCTCATCCATTTTGCATTCAGCTTTTCGAAAAAGCGCTCAAAATCTTGTCAATGTCAGAAAGCTAAGAGTGCAATGGATAGGACAAACACAAATGCAATGACAGCAGCACCCACAAAACATACACACACACACAACCATTGAATATCGAATGGGCACAAGCAAGGAATTTACATACATTTAATGGAAAGGTAAGGCCCAAAAATCTGTGTATCGGAATGCCGCAGAAAAGCTGAATCAATTCAAAGACTATACAATACCAAGATGTTTCGTCACAGCTTCAATTCTCTTTTCATCTGTGATTCGTACAAGCGAATGGTTTAAAACGGAATGTCCAATAATCCAAGAACAAATTGTATGCCTTGAGCAAAACGAGGCATATTTTCATCGGGACTGGGACCAACTGCGCCAAGGAAAGCCTAAAAGAGAATGGAAGTACCGCGCGCCAGTAGCACGAACCGTCGAACCAAACCAATATCTTTGTAATTGTATAGCCAAAACAACTCAAATTAATGAAAATCTAAATATGTTTACACGAAGAGCAGTACTGCCTTACCTTCTCTTCAATGTAACTTGGGTAACAAACATAGATTGGTAGCGAGAGAGGGAGACAGCGAGAAGGCAGCTCAAATAACAGCAAATTTCTGTTTGTCAGGGAGGGCGACAGTGGCAGAAATGTGGAGGAGGTCAAAAGCTTTTAATTGGCAAATTGTTGTCGAATGCTGCGTGGCGTTACAGCGAGGCGAGGGAATGGCGCATCCCAGGCGCCAAACAAAGCGATGGAGAGTAGTGCAAAGGGAAGGCGAAACAGCAAAGATTACAGAAAATAGAACTCCCGTTACTTACCAAAAGCGTAATGCACGTATCTCCTTCGTTTCAGCGTCTTATCAATGTTGCACTCTCACACATACACACACATGTATACAGTGGTGGACAAACAAATAACAGAAAATTTTGTTCTTTTGCGTTTGTGCAAAAATCAATCAAATGCAATTTTGTTTTCCCTGCCCGTTGCAGCAACTTGCGTTTGTTTACTGCGTTCTATAATAATTACGTGAATATTATTGCGTCGCTACGGAGTGTACAGAAGATTGCTGCAAACGCCGCCCGCCGTCCGATTCTGTATTTTTGTTGTTTCCTGCTTTTCCTTTTGTGAGCCGCACTTCTTTTTCTTCGTTTGGTTCGCAAGTTTTTTTTTTGGAAACGGCGGCGGCGGCGTACGAGCGAATAAACGGGACAGGACCAGTGTGACCTTATGGCGGACTTATCGACATACCGCCTGACCCTCAGAAATATACCGAAGTATACTTCTTATTTTCAAAATATACCGTAATTATACTGACGGACACGACAAGATGCGTTTGATATTCCTCGATTTTGATATTCGGTTTAATATCAATAGCTAGTTAGCCCTCTCAGCCCTAAACAAATAATTTTATCCAATTCATCATTCAATTTTGTTCAGGATTGGCTAGTTTTCAGAACTATTTTTTATTGGATTGTTTACATAAAAAGGTTCAAACAAAAACGGCCAAAGCATAAAAAGTAAATGTTGACTAAATGTGCGCGTGGGCCCCCGGGCTGCCACTTGGGGTTTCCCGCGGCACGGGACCAGGCCCGGGGGGGGCAGGGCGGCCCACCCCCGGGCGGCCGGTTCGCGCGCTTTTGTATGGGAAAAATTTCAGCAGCATGCTGCCACCCCCCACCCGAAAATGAAATGAGGGAAAGTCTCCACAAAAACACTCTATTCTCCACTGAAAAGAGAGCACTCTCCACGAATTGAGAGCAAATTTTGAAAACTCTCCACGAATTGAGAGCGAAAAATGTCAGTATTTTTGGTGCGCTAAATTGAGTTTGGCGGTCAATTTAAAAAATGAACTTTAATATAATTTAAAATATAGATTGAAACTTGATTATATATACTTTCTGTATTTTGTATACCCTATTTTCCTGTTTAAATAATGTTAAAATTCTGCTTTTCTGTTTTCTAGTGCTTTGTTGTGGTCAACAGTTTAATCAATTCACCAACAACTTTAACATTAATGCTGTTGCCGAGCAGCCGGTACTTTTGTCGATTTGTCGTTTCAGGCGGAAAGCCAAACTCCTCTGGAAAACTCATCAGGCGTGCCACTTCCCGGGGCGTGAAGTAGCGTAGTTTTATTTGTCGCAGTAGATCCAAACGCCGCAGCCGCACATCCTCAGAGCTACTACAGGTAGGCCGGATTATTATCGTCGATTTCTTTCACCTGTTCAAATATTCGATGGGACTCCTCCTCAGAGAGCGGTGTAAAGGCAGAGCCTGTGCCTTCGGTGTAGTGTGTATAGCCTTTGGTAAAGCACATGGATCTATTTTGTGTGGGATGTATTATGTCCATGACCAACACCCGCTTGGCTAAAACATCGTCAGGCACAAGGTGTTCACAGGACACATTGTCCTCCAGAATGGCGGAGATTTGGGAAACGGACTGATCGGCGGCTGCTTTTCTGTCGGGCATTTCATCCCAGATTTTACCTCCAGCAAATCCAAAGTCTTCAGTCTTGCGAGCAATGCAGTAATAGCGATGACGAGTATTTGGTACATTAAATTGTGTGGGCGTCAGTATAAACTCCCGCCAATAGAATCCAGCCTTTTCCAACGCTTCAACGAAGTGATTTCGAGCCTGAGAGCGTTCGAATCCCTTTACATTTTCCATCAGCACATACTGGAGGCTTTCGCATTGCGGAATGAGAGTGCACAAATGTGTAAGTGCGTCGGAACGCTTGTCCTCCGTGTCTCTTTGCAGTCCCTGGCGGGTGTGCGGCTGGCAGGGCGGGGACATCAGCAGCACGTTGGCTCCCAACTTTCTGATCTCCTTCTCACTGAGGCTTTGAATGTTTCTCGTCTTCACATGGGTGCTGCCATAGTTATGCGCATAAACAGCATTGGCCACTGTATTCACATCCAAGGCGGCCACAATCTCTCCCTCCAGCTGGGCGTCTGCAATGCGAGCGTCAGTAGGGTTTTCATGCATTCTTCGTATCTACTCACATTTAAAGGCATAGTGCATGCCACCGATGCCGCTGAATAGTTCCAACACACGCAATCCCATTGAATTCAAATATTTTATTTAAATATTTGTATTGTTTATATACGGCACGTTGTGGTCAGAGCGCTTTACAACACTGCCGCAACATCAGGTTGTCGACGAAACAGTGTAATGGTTTTTTTCAAGAAGAAGAACAACATCAACACGTGCCGCTGGAATTTACTTTGGTTGTGCGTTTCAAAATGATTAAAATAAAGAGAAAACTGCCAGCTCCGCCTCCAGTGGACGAGGACTCGGACAGTGACTCGAGCTTCGCAGAGGAGGAGACCGAGGACCAACAAAAAATAAACGAAGAGGACGCCAGCTCAGACGAAGAACCACATACCAGCAAAAGCAAACAACAGCCAAAGGAAGATGCTGGCGACGACGGGGCCGGCGTGGAGGATGAGGACGACGACGACGACGACGACGAGGACGAGGATAATGAAGATGACGATAAAGATGATAAGAAAGCACGCATTCCCGTTTTCAATCCACTCAGCTTGATGAGAAACAAGGAACAGCGCTTGGCTCTCTATCGCAAAATGAAGAAGGAGAAGCATAAGAAGAAGATGCAGGAAAGACGCGCCCGTCGCAAGGCTGGTGTGCCGGCCAATCCGGGCCACACAATCGAAAGTCTGCGTGAGAAGGATCAAACAGAGGTGGCCAATCTGAACGATTCGGACAACGAGGAACTGCAAAAAGAGCTGGAAATCGATGACTTCAGTTCGTACTTTGAACGCGTTTACGAACCGAAAGTGCTCATCACGTTCGCCGACAATCCAGTGACCAAGACGCGCAAGTTTGGCCTGGAGCTGTCGCGTATATTCCCCAATGCCCTGGTCAAGATCAGGAACAAAGCTTCAGTTAAGAAGATCTGCAAAAGCGCTGAACGCGAGGAGTTCACAGATGTGGTCATTATCAACGAGGACAGAAGGAAGCCCAATGCTCTGTTGGTCATCCACTTGCCCAACGGCCCCACGGCGCACTTTAAGCTGTCGAACGTCAAGCTGACATCGGACATCAAGAGGGATCACAAGGAGATAACCAAGCATAGGCCCGAGGTGATTCTGACCAACTTCACAACGCGCCTGGGTCTGACAGTCGGACGTATGTTGGGCGCCCTCTTCCACCACGACCCCGAGTTCAAGGGCCGGCGTGCGGCAACGTTTCACAATCAACGCGATTACATATTCTTCCGCCACCATCGCTACGAGTTCTCCAAGGAGGGAAAGCGTGTGAAGCTCCGTGAATTGGGGCCCAGATTCACGCTGAAGCTGCGTTCCCTGCAGGAGGGAACATTCGACAGCAAAACTGGCGACTACGCCTGGATAATCAGCAACAAGCGGCATGCCATGGAGTCCCGACGACGTTTCTTCCTCTAAATGTATTTCAATTCTTTGTATTTAGCATAGAGAACATAAAATAAAAAAAATTTCTCAGCTCAAGAGAGAGATAACCATCTGAGGAGACCACCACATTGACATTTTGTTGTTGTCCATAAATACAGAAAAAATAATAAAAATACAAAGTTCTTATCTTAAAAATGTGCAACACTCAACAGTTAACCGAATTGGCACACTACGGGGAAAGTGTTCCAAAAAAGAAAGGAGCACCTCCAGCTCCACCTACATGGTGGGACACTGGGGATTGGGGCCACCGCCCATGCCCATTGCTGCTGTGGGATCGGCGAACGGCAAATCACCGCCCGTCTCTGCCAGAATCTCAGCCGGTGGCTGTCCATAGTCTTGAAGTTTTCGCATATCGTCCAGAACCACGCGGAACTTTTCGCGCTTAACGGCGGCCGAATCCTCGGGCTTTTCCGATTGCAAATGGCCCTCGATGACCTTGTAGAGCTGCATCTGTTTTTGGTATCTAGCGGAGACAAGTGATACGTGCATCCGTTTAGATTTGTTTGCAACATTTAAATGGATTTCTGTCAAACCTCTCTTTGTCCTCAGCCGATAGCTTGGCATCGTTCTCTTCGAGGTACTTGGGGTACTTCTCCAGCAGCTCCTTAATGCTGGGCAGTAGAATCTCAGCCGAAAGCAGGCTCTGCATCATGCCTTCCATGAAGGGTAGGAACATGTTGCCATCAGGTGCACCACTCTATAAATTCCATTGATTGATTACACGTGATTCAGAACCGATCTCCCACACTTACACCATCCAGATTCAAGGAACCAAACATGCTGGCAATGTCATTCTCTGAGGCAGGTGCTGCCAGATTTTCAGTGCCCTCCTGAAGACCTTTCAGGGCCTGCGAAATGCTGTCTGAATACTTGGAGACATCTTCATCGGTGGCCGAATTCTCGCCACTCAGTGTCAATGCGGCTGCCTCGGCCATCTTCTTGAAGCCAGACATAATCTGATCTGGGTCCTGAGGCATCGGTGGTATATCCCCACTGGGCGTATCCGGACCACCGAACAACGTGTTCATGCGGTCGGCCAACACCTTGGCCTGCTCGCTGCAATTGGAGAATACAAAGTTCAATGTTGGCTGATGACATCGCGCACACAGAAGTGCTGGGCTGCAGACTCCCGTGACTCACATGAAAAATGCATCAGGGTCTTCGGACCCTTCGGCGACCTCGGCGACTGTCGCATCAGTGGCCTTGGCCTTCTCCTTCTGGCTGCCACTTTTGTCGAAATCCTGCAGAGCACCTGCCGAGAGAAAATTTCAATATTCAATTTGGATTTGCGCATTATATAATTTGGTCAAAATTCATTGCGGCTGCAAGGGGGCCATCCACTCACTGTCCAACAGGTCGTTTAAGTCATCTCCGTTTTGCTTTTCCTCAGACATTGTGTAATTTTTCTTTTATTTCTAATTAATTCTGAGGGGGGTTGGGAGGGATAAAATAATTGACTGACAGAAAATGGATTTTGGTCACACTTTGCTAACAATATTTACACACTCGATTGATCGATAGATGGGGCATCGATAACAAAACAGTATCGATAGGGAATGCAAGCCGGTAAGAATAAAATTTAATAATTGGATATATGTATACTTATGTTACCAAGTCAATATAAACAGTAAGATGAGTAGTGGCCATACAATTTTTTGGAACTGTATATTTTCCTTCCTAGATTTTGATGCTTGCTTTAGGCTGTCTTGAAATTTTGTTGAAAAGACTGAGAGAGAGCGCTCAAAAGCCATCCGCTTTCAATATCGGATTTTAATTTTAATTTTAATTTTCTAAGCATATACAATACAGAACTTTGCATAGGGACATTTAAAAACTATAGGATGCCAAATAGTGTCGAATTTTCGCAGCGACTAATTGGAAATAGAATATCTGGAAATGTTTGGAAAATTTTGTATGCTATGGTACAAATTTATTTTTTTGCCATAGTGCGGCGAGAAATTTACTATCTGTAAATTGTACCAATTAAGCTTCTGTAAGTTTCCCTTCGTTCTGTTGGGTAGAACATTTGAATTCTCCAGTGAGAACTAGACCACGGCTCTATCCAAAGTTGTAAAGTATGAAAATTTTGCACATATTATTGTAAATATTTTTGCCTTACAACGGAGATTTAAAAAAAAAAAAATGGGAAAAAAATTTGGGGGGGGGGGGGGGGGGGGGGGAAAGGGGTTTTTTTTAAAATCCCCCCCCGGGGATGGGACCATTCCAGAAATGGATACTGGAATGTCGCCTTTCTGAACAGGGTATAATCAAAGACAAACAGGTTTGCGAGAATCGCAATGTACGTACATACATACATATCTGTATCCCTTTAGAACATGACACTAAAGAAAGTGAAATTGGGTGAATCCCACCAATTTAAGCAGTAAAAAGAGAGGGAGATGAGCGAACCATTTAGACAAAGACTATCTTACCAGCCGAAAAAGAGAGCGTAAATAGCTTAGATCAGCTTTTTGTTGACGATCTAAGTATACATACATATACAGATCGTGTAAATTATGTCCATACTTAATTTGTTTAAAACCGTTTATTGAAGTGAAAAATTAACTATCACATTTGTGCCATTCCCAGGATCCTTTCAGGGCCTCCTGACTGCTTTGGCCTCGAGGGAGTCGCTGACACTATAAAAGTTTTGTTTCAATGGAAAGATCGATCCCGTGGAGGCATAGGAACTGGCCCGCCTAAGATCTTTGCGAATTTTGGATTGTCAGTTCGCTGATCCTCTGGACATTCAGCTTCTGTCTCAGCTAACTGAACTGAACAATATGCATCTGAATGCGAATGAAATGTTCGGCAAGGTATCGGCAGGGGTCCTTAAAGTTATAAGGTCTGCAAAAAGTTAGCTAGAATTCAGATAGTAACTCATCACGAGAACACTAGTACCTGTCCTGCAGATACGGCATCGTCTGAGATCTTTGAAATATTGGAGGCCTGTCGTGGTAGAATTTGTATATGGATGAACGTCGGTAGCACATATATTGATCGGGAAAACAATACACTGAAATTAGAAATGTATTCCTTTTTTTTTTTACTAATTTAATGATGGAGCCTTTAGCCCGTCCGATGGACGCAGTTTCTGGCATTTACTCCATTTAAGCTATTTCGATGTATCGGAAGGAGATAGCCTTGGGAGGTTTGTAAATAACTCTTAAATCGATCTATCGCAAAAATTTAAGCTATTTTGCTATCCATCCATCTCCTAGAAACATCACATTCAATAAAAGCACTGGGAAATTGATTATTACGAACGTGGGGCCATTTATCGACTCACACAACGGATTTGACCTAAATCCCCTTGCTAGACTGCAGAATTTGCTGCACGTAAACATTTTCGGACGCTTCGCAGAGGGCTCTATGTATAATTTCTTCGGCCAGTTGGCCCTGTGTCTCTCCGAACATTGGTCTGCGGATTATCGTATTTTAAGGACAAAGAAATAGAACAGCTGGCTCATCTTCCCCAGCTGGCAGAGCTGACTGTTGACTCCCATCGAACGGGCTCCCTTAAGAACCTTCTTGGGAATCTTGCTGCCAGCCCCACTATAGAACGTCTGGCTGTGACGGGCGGAAGTCTCACCACCCCAGAGCTGACCGAAGTATCCGCTATAGGTTCCTTGAAGAGGCTCGAGTTCGCATTCTGCTGCACAGAGGGTCTCGATGTATTGTCACAGCGTTCCTGCATCGAGGATCTGGTCGGTAAAACTAAGAAAGGAGAAACCTCTCGGGAAGATTTGCTCCCTGCTTTTGCATCTCTTGGCGATTCAAAGATCTAGAATGTAGTTGTCGATGGCACGGCAGTCGGTCAGGAACCAGGTAGCGCATTAAACCATGTTTCCCGAATTTCGAGACTGAAATTCTTGAATTCTTGAATTCCTAATCACAGATACCCAGGGCATTGAGAGTTTGGCCGAATCTGACCACCTTGAAGAGCTAACAATGTCCATTGGGGCCGAAAGGGGTTGTGTAGAAGGCCTTTTCCGGGCACTTTCACTGAAGAATTCAACCAAATTAAAGCATTTGTTTTTAAAGCACACTTCCACCAACCATGAAGAGGCTCGCTATCTCGTGAAGGTTGATTCAATCACAAGACTAAAGTGTGGCTTCAAAGACGAAGAAAGCTTCTCCCTCTTGGCTAACATGACCAATCTTGAGAGTCTGGAAGTGACTTCGCGACATAAATTTATAAATATTTCTGGGCATCTCCTTGACATCTTTCGAGGATGTCGTAAACTTAAGACTATTGATTTGGGAACTACTGTCTGCTACCTCTGCCAAGACTTCCTGAAAAATTCACTGGACATACTGAAATCAGTGAGAGATCCGGTAACTCAAGGACCATTGGAGATACGGATTTCCCTATCATCTTATGAATCAGAAGACGAAGTAAGCCTCGATAAAACGTATTTGATTGTCACCGATAAGTATGGAACCATTAGAGGCCGAGAGCGAGGACAAGATCGAGGATGAGAGCGAGAGTGAGAACGAGGACGAGAGTGAGAACGAGAGTGTGAGCGAGGAAGAGAGCGAAAGCATGACCGAGGAAGAGATTTCTCGGGAAATGCTGAAAGTCCAGAAGTAGCAGCAGAAATTACATGAGGAGCACTAGAAAACCAATAACATTTTTAAACATTTGTATTAACTTATCCTGATGTCTTAAAATTCAAATATACCCTATAACTTGTATATTTTCAAGCTAATTCTTTGCCTTTTAAGAGTGTACATATTTGTGCAAAAGTCGGCAACAAAATGAAACAATCCAAGGACATTAGGTGAAGATTATTTAAAATAATCACTCAAAATATTTACGGTTCTTCTGCGAAACACAAAAACATGGCAGGACCCAGCATGCACCTTGCTGTGCGCCCATGAAGATCGGCGACCAAAACTGCGACCAGAAACCCAAAACCGCACATACTCGTACTGCACAGCGAAGCGCAACGGTGAGGGGCAATCACCAAGTCAACAAATCCATCAAGGTTGCGCCGAGGCGCGACCAATTCTAAAACCAGAACGCTACACCCACAGCCAGAACACATGGGTTTTTGCAGTAGGGAGTCCGAGTCCTCTTCGGCATGAAGGTCATCTCTCCTGGCTAGTTTTTCGATTCATCTCATATGGTCAATTGGGTTGGTTGGCTATTTTTCTACTTTAACCGCACAGTTTACCAAAAGAGCAAAACGAATTCACAATTTGGTACGCCCACGCAGCGAAGTATTGTGGTAAAATTTTTGTACTTCTCTGCCATTTGGGGCGGAGTTTTCAGCGACATGAACTGAGCTGGGCTGGAGGGGTTCCATGAATGGGCACAGCACAGCATGGGCGGAGCTTCAGTTGAAATAATGCATAATTTATAATGTTTTATTTGTGGCTAACAATACGGATTAAGGGTGCTATAAAAAACATGCAAGCTGCAAAGGGGAATTTTCATTTGTATGGAAAAAAATAAACAAATTTTTCGGACTATTTTTGAACAGAAAAATAGACCAACTTTAATTTTTCTTGGAACTTAAACGGTTCAAAAAGTCAAGACAACCGTCAAAAAGTCAAAAACAAAAGTCGAAAACGTAAAAACCCTTTCGACGGAGAACAATACAGGATTGGTCCACACTACCACAGGCGACGCCGATGGTCTTTCGCTCTTTTTTGACACAATTTTTAATGAACAAGAGGTTTGTCATAAATATATTTATTTGTATATAATCGTTTGCTTGGAGTTCTACAGAGTTTACCTGAGTTTCGTCTCGGCATCCAGCGCACGCTATGCTTCGCGGGAAGGAAGAGTGTTGAAACGGAACCCAGGACCAGATTCCGGGACCCTGTTAACCGTCATAAAATGCGCATCAGCATCCCACTCTACGTAGATTTCACTTCCTACTTGCACGTCTATTTTTTTTTTTTTTGGGAACTTTGTGTAGATATAATGTAACCTTTCCCTATACATACATACATATGTGTGTATGTTAGAGTATTGACTGCGATTTCACGGTCACTGATCGCAGCATTTCTATTTTAATTTTTATTTTTTCGACTTTTGCCGCATCCTTCCAGCGAAAGAAGGTGGAAGGAGGCGCAATTTTATGAGCCATTGATCATGCCATAATGTACTTTCGCGATTGTTCAGTAATGGCAATGATTGCGGTTTTATAAGCACCACCATTCAGGTCGCGGTCGTGGCGTGTGTCTGGCCCAGGCCCAGGCCCAGGATCAGATCGCTATCTTTTGATATTTGGGCCATACAAATTGCGATTACAGGGCGACCAGGCCTGGCAATATTTCCTGGAAAACTCCCAGTTTTCCTTTGAAATTAAAGTCTACCCCTCCCAAAAAAAAAAAACTTCTTCACACGCATCTCCTTCGGCATTGCGCAATGGGGCAGACACTGAGAGTTCTTCATGCTCTGACACCCATCGCTCTCCATCAAAGCGCTGAATGCTAAACGCTCGCTCCCCCCACATGCA